TACAATCTGCTTTGGCTGTCATGTCAATTTACCAAACCCTGGGCATTTGAACTTTGATTAAGTCTAAAGCTCCTGATTCAAACCGACCCTTCACTTTTGAAACAGCTCATCTCAGTACATATCATATCCAGAATGAGTCTGCTGTCCATCCAGAGGACTCTTTTGCATAAATGTTGGTCTGGTGAACACAAACAAAACAAAACACACACATGTTGTGTATGTCCTTTGAAGGACAAATATCTCTTTGAAACCTCCTTTTGAGGACCCAGCAGAAGAAATCTAAACTTCACCCTGGAAAATCATTCTTTCTCAGAGGCTAATGAACAGTTCCTTTTGTTTCTCCCAGGACACCAATATCGCAACCTTGGACTCCCAAATCTTCCCAGCCTGTAAATGAGTCTTCCTCACAAGGAGAAGACAATGCCCACTTCTTAAATCAGGGTGGTGGGGTGGGGCGTATTTTGGTCTTTGCGCCCACCTAGACCAAAAAACATCTTGGATACAAGGATGTGGTTTCCAAGGGCTAGAATTTCAAGCTCATCTGTACCCCTATTCATTTTGTCAACCCTGCCATCATCGCCACATCGACTGGCATACTTCCATGCTGCTCTGGAACAGCTCCTCTCTGAGAGAAACATTGCCACAGCCCCGATAAGTGAAGGCTTTTTACAGTTTCTGCTCCAATCTATTTCTGATTCCTGAAGCCAAAGGAAGCATACACCCCATTTGAACCTAAAGCACTGAATATTTCATCTAAATAAAAAAATTCCTCTTAGAATTTACCAGGTTAGTCATTGCCTCTCTTCGTCTGGGTGATTTTCTGGCCTCTGAGGACAATAAGGATGTCCTGTTGCATGTCCTTTCCCAACATCTCAACACTAAATGTGTTTTTGCTATGGGCGCACAGCACTTGCTGAGATTCTTGCTCATGTGGGCAGTACAGTGGCTAAATGGTTAGAACTTCCGCCTGGCAGTACTTGGGTCATTGGTTCGAATCCCAGCCACGGCACCTCCTGCCTGGAGTTTGCATGTTCTCCCTGTGCCTGCGTGGGTTTCCTCTGGGTACTCCAAATAAATGCTGGTAGGTTAATTGGATCCTGCCTAAATTAGCCCTTGTATATGAATGTGAGTTAGAGACCTTAGATTGTACGCTCCTTGAGGATTAGGGACTGATGTGAATGTACAATATATATGTAAAGCACTGCGTAAATTGACATCGCTATATAAATACCTGAATAAATAATAAATAATGTGCTTGCTCTGCTTTGCTAGCTGGATCTTCCCATTGTGAGATTTCTGGATGACCAGTTAAATGTCTAACAAATTCTTCACACTGTACAAAAGGCAATTAAACCAACTCATCACTGAGAATATATATAGTTCTCCTTCTAGATACTGCTTAGTCTGTAGTTTCACTTCTGCAGATCAAACTCCTTACTCTGCTTCTATGTTTAAACTCTGCAGTCCAGGGGCCATCCTAGTCTCTGCATTGCATGAGCATTTCTGGGCTTGATTGCAGCAGTCATGCATGCCCAATTTCACTCCAGAAAGTTGCAACACAATATTCTTGCTGTGTGAGACAAGAAGGCTCACTCTATGGACAATCATGTACCATACACCCATGACCTGGTTTATCTGTGGTAGCTTTCGAATCCAGCTCTGGAGTATAGGAAATTCTTCCATTCTTTTTTTTAATTCTTACACTGAATGCCAGACTGACAGGATATTGGTGCAGGGGTTGCCAGAAAGTAGCTTGTCTGTGATCAACATACTTGAGATCAAAATGATTTGGTTCGACTTAATGCTGGACCTTAGTTGGGCAATGCCACAGCAGGGGCTTACATCAACTGTCAGGGGGTAAGCAAAAGTCTTGCAGCTCAAAGAGAAGCTGCCCAGATTCTGGATTGGGTTTCAGCCCTGTCCAGCATGAAAATTCCATAAGTGAAAAATTTGAAGACAGATTTGGCCAGTCTCAGGGGATTCAGGGGAATGGTAACTTGACCAGGAGGTGTTTCAAGATCTGTGTTGCAGGTGAGGAACGTCAAACGTGCTTCAAAGTTTGACAAAAAATTGAGCACAATTGTCTTCAGGTCCAAGGATCCTCTAGCCATACCAGTGAGAACTCTGGTGACTGTTGGTAATACCCATCATACTGAACTGGCCCAGGAAGTTGTATTCTGACCTCATCAAAATCCTGGCATACTTTCCATGGGCTCTTCCAGATCACCTGCATTTTTTCCCAAGGACTGGTTTACTACGCTGCTTCACAGTCTCTGGCTTTAAGAGTTTGGCCGTTGAAGCCTATGTACTGAGAAATATGGGCCTATCCAATTCTGTTATTCCAACACTTCTACTAGCTAGGAAATCCACCTCTTCCAAGGTTACCATTGCACTTGGAAAGTGGACTTTGCATGATATGAGGCAGAGAAATTCCATCTTAGGAATTACTCTTTGGGATGCAAGCTGCCAATTCTCCAGTCTGGTCTGGATCAGTATTTGGCTTTGAGTTCATTCAAAGGTCAGATTTCATCTCTTGTGATTTCTTTTCACACACAGTTTGTCTCTCATTTCTTAGTGTCAACCCTTGTACAGGGTGTTACACATATAGTTCTATCTGTATGTTCACCTGTAACGGGAGAGAAAAAAAGCTGTGCTTGAACTCCCACCAGTTGTGAAATGGAGAACACAAGTGCACAAGCAGGGGTTTCTGTTAGCACTTTTTATGCAAATCCAAATGGGAAAATAGGCTGCAACAAAGTGACATCTTCAATTATACATCCTTTGTTAGCTCACATTGAAATCCAGTCCAAAAGGAGAGGCTTACATATTTCAGCTCAACAGCCTTAATCAAGGACTGTGGACTAACAAAATATGTATAATTGCCAGCTATTTTCCTGTTTGGATTTATGTTTACCTGTGACTGTGTGGGATCTTAGCCTGTTTTTATCAATGTTTAAAAGGCCACCCTTTAAACCAATCAGGGATATTCCTTTGCCAACACTCTACTATAATGTTGTTTCTCTTGTTGCCATCATGGTGGCTCACTTCTGACAAACTTTTTCTTGCCCTACACAAGGGCAAGGTTGTCTTGAGGCCTGTCCTGCCCCAGTAGACACCAAGAAGATTATCCTCGTCAGCTACAGCTACATCTTGCATCTTGACTGACTCCCCTTTTTTTACAGAATCCCCTTAGAAGATGACCTGCCTCTCGTTGAACCATCTCTAGGTGGATTAAGCAACTCATATTTCCACTCTTTAGGTTTAAGGACAAGGTTCCACCTTTCACACATTTTACTACCAGAGTACACTCCAATAGATCAGGAAGCTCCTCATAGGCATCTTGTTCTCCAATTGCAAGGCTGCCTCTTGATCTTCTGGTCATCTGTTCACATGTTCTCCAAGTTGTACCAAGTGGATATTCAGACCTCAGCTGATGTAAGCTTTGGAAATAAGGTAATTCCGACAGCTGTTTTGCTACCACCCCTTTATCCCCCCAGTGTTGCCTGTTTATTATGGGCTTGGTAGTGTTTTGTTTGCTGCATTTCCCACCCCTCAATTGGATTTCATGTGTATATCTCATATGTCTCAGAAGCTCTTTCTGACCCTGTATCCCTTAATAAAGATTATGAAAACAGGATTTTTTACTTACAGTAAAATCCTTTTCTTGGAGTTAATTAAGGGGAATAGCTCCCACTCCTTTGTTTTCTGAACACTGCCACTACTCTTTTGTAAGAAACTGAAGCATGATATGAGTGGGAGAGCTAAGAGGAGTAATATATTCTGACTAACAATTTTTTGTTGTCCTTATCCAATTTCTCTTTGGATGGCAGTATAACCTGTATGTCTTAGTATTCTTTCTAACAATGTGTCCCTTATTGAACTCTAAGAAAATAATTTTCTATTCGTTAAAGGTTCAGTGCCAGTGTTCCTTTGTTGACTAGTGATTTTGGAAATAATAGGTGTAGAACCCAAATGCATTGGGATTTTGATATATATAATAGACTTGTGGGTCATTTGAGATTTGTTGTCTTTATTAACCAAGGGCTGCCTCACAGATAGGTGACATTGTGATGGGAGTCTATGTTCTAATTCATTTGCTGTAGACCATCAATGTTGCTGCCTAAAACATGGTTAAATGAAAATTATAACAGTCTTTGGCCATTCTAACTATATTTGCTTTCTTGACAGGTTACAGATATATAAATTGATGTTTTATGTATTTTTTCATTATTTGTCTGCAGTCGTTGACAAAAATCTCTAATACAGGGTGTTTCTATAACAGACACGGTGGACACTTTTATGATAAAAATCCCAGCACTACTGCTGTATTTTGTTGATAGATGCTGCTAATAGAAAATCCAGAAGAATAATGTCTCTGCTAGGAGAGTAAACAAATTAAGAAAAATATATGGAATACAATACACAATGTATTTAAACCTGCCATTTTGAGACTAAAAATAATGATGCTTAAAAGTTTGTTTTACCAAGCAAATAAATGTTCAGGCAAGTAAATGCAGCTGTAAATGCTCCCTCTAGGCCTGAATGCTTAGCAAAGCTCTGGCAATTCCTGTTAGCATGCTCACATTCCACACATCCCTGTTGGCCATTGGGTAAGACCATCACATTGGTGGATCCATAGAAGTGGGAGCAGGATGGAGTGGATAAGCTCAGGCACTGCCTGGAAGTGTTAGATGTTTATCCATTCAGGTGTTGAGATAGAGCCCTATACCAGCTTTTAACTTAATTTATGTCACTTTAAGCACATTTTTGCATGTGATCACATGCAAAACTAATGTAGGATTTTCTTATTGATGCATGTTTGCTTAGTTCCACATAAGCAGGTGCTTAGGGTTGCATACTTCTTCTGCAGGGACAGTTTCATATGTTTATGTTCATTAATTATATGGTACCATATTTTATTGTTGTTAGCATCTTCATAGTGCAACTTTTATTAGTAATATTCTTTGCGATTAAAGTTTTATGTTGTTTTTCTATTACAGTCCTGGTACCTGGGCTAGCTTGGTTCCTTTCCAAGTATCCAATAGGACATCAATCCTACCAAGCAATGTCCAAAATTATGGACTAAATATAATTGGAGAACCCTTTCTTCAAGCAGAGACAAGCAACTGAAAAATAAAGAAAAGGAAATTTGAATGAACAGAGAGAAGGAAGAAAGGACATGAAGAAAACATGAAAGACAAGTTAAACTGACCAGCATTTGCAGCACTTACAATCACTGATTCCTTTAACCTTTTTAGTACTTGCAGGACCTGCAAAGCATTGGCTATCAGGCCTCCAGAGCACATGAGAGGTTAAGGCCGAAGCAGTCGTGACACTGAAAGGGTGGCTATTAAATTTCACAGATGGGTAGAATGCAACTCCTGCTAAACTAGCATTTGTTATCTAATGTCTGCTGGGAAATAAGCGCTCTTTCTCCACGACAATATATTTTGTATGACTTTTCTAGATGCCTTAATAATTGCATGATAAGCTAGTCCTGTTTGGTTTTAGTCTTCTTGTTGTTTACGCATGGGAACACTACTCCCATTTCTTCTCACAAAAGAAAGGCTGTGAGGCAGCACCGCTGCAAAAAAAAAAAAAAAAAGCCACAAAGCCACCCCTACCATGGATCTCCTTACATAGAACAGTTGTCATGTTTAACAGCATGTGGAAAGAACGCATTAAATAATCTTCTAATCAGTCACTACTACCAGAAAGAGATGCAACTACAGTAATCCATACTACACCTAACATGTTTTCGCATGCTACCTAATCTGAAATGTCAGCAGATTTGTGTCCCTCGGATTCTTGCTGAAATTGGTCACCCTTGTGTTTTTATAGAGATATCAGGGCAAGAATCAAATGGGATATAATTCCCACAAGAGATTAGTGTAGAGGCAAGTGCTACTAAATAATTATTTAATGTGGCATAATTATAGTTAGTCCTTTAGTCCTCTGACTCTAAACTGTAGGGCTTGAAAAGCTACAGCCTGCATAGTGCCAGATCAAGCCTATGATTTTTCCATGTGGCCATCTGGTGCTGACAGGTAAAAAAAAATATGAAATATTTTTTTCCCTCAATATATGAGGGTTAAGTTAAAAAAAAAAAAGCGGCAAATCCAGACAAATCATGTATTTGAGATACTGAAATAAAAGGACTCTTAGCACTTATACTGGTGGGGCTACCATGAAGGGGCCAAGTATTTATTTATGATTAATGGTTGAATTAGGGGAAAAGGGGGCAGGCATCAGCACTAATAAATCAGGACAGAACTCAAATACACATACTATTTAACCGGTCAGTCTGCAGAAAATTGAACAACTGCCCATAGATCATGTTCTTCTTTAGAAATAAGAACAGCAATTTCAGTCACCTTCTCAAAATAAAATAATAATGCCTATTTACATAGGATAAAAAGAAGAGTAATCATTAAGTACAGTTTCCAGTAGTTGTATTTTGCACGAAACTACAATGTCCACATCACGTGCCTTGCCTTGAATTTAAAAAAAAAAAGTGACATCACTAAACTTGTTTTGCTGCATTTATTATCATTTTAAAATGTTACCATTTTTATGGCAAGATATTTTGTACTCCACAGAGGGAAAAAAATTCTGTGACATCCTGGATTTTTTAGACAGTTATACCTTATCACATTTATAAAGCATATCATGGCTGTGTATAATTGCCGCTTAAAAATAGTAATCAACCAGCAATATTTTCAGTATTTTGGTGTTTTTCTATTAACCTTTCATGTTTTTCATCTTCCAGTTAATATGGGGAAGGAGGGAGGGAGCTGGAATGGGGTTGAAATTTTTACAAAATTATGCAATACCAAGTTTTGCCTATGTAGGTAGTGCTTTTAGCAGTATTTGGTTATTCTAGGTAATTTAGCAGATAAAAAAAGAAAAGTGTAAAAAAAATTAAATGTATGTTTTTTTTTTTCATTGACCAAAGTGGGTACTGCTATTTTTGCAGTGTGATGAGGTCCTTTTGTGTACTGACATGGAGAGGAAATTTTGTTTTATATATGCGTATAAATATATATATAAATATATATTTTGGGTGGGTGGGAGGGCAAATGGAATTTTACAAGGCTGCTGTAAAGCAGAATGCCCACATAGTGGCCATGACTGCAAAGTGACAATATTGCCTACTGTAAAACAAAATCAAACATTTTGCTTTTTTTTCTTTAAAGTTAGTTCTTTATTATCTAGACTTGATCTCATAAGATAAAGCTAATTTTTTCATCCACCCTTGAATACTGGAATATTTCAGGATGTAGACTTGAATATAATTCACTGTGCAATTTGTTTTACAAGGATCTGACCACAGGATTCTTCAAGTGATAGAATCCAGATATTAGATAATGTGTAAAATAAATGGTATTGCATTAAAACTGCGGTGCATTTTAGCTATCATCTTCCGTTGAATTTAGTACCTTTAAAGGTCACTCTACCCAAAACTATTTCAGTGTTTGGTAGCTGCTGAAGAGTTGAACTACATAATGGTTGCCTATAGCTCTTCAGCTCTTTAGCAGTCAGATCTCTGCACTTCAGTTCCTTCAGCCATTTGAGGGGTCATAATCTTTTTGTTGGATTTTTTGCTTATTTTCTATTAAAGAAAATTTATCAAGAGGTGTGGGAACACACCAAAGTGGGTAAAGACATCCAAAACATTCACCTTTGAATGGACTGATTATTTTATGTTATTTAGCAATAATATAAAATAAATGAAATAATTTTAATTTTAATACATAATTTACTGAAGTGGTAATTTTAATTTTAACTCATAAAACATCTGTTCACCTTAAAAGAAATCAGTTTTCGAGGAACGTTCTGTGTGTTTTTTTTTTTACATTCCATTCTAGCTTGATTGGCCATTTCTTGTAAGTATAAAAATTACTAAGAAAAAAACAGCACCTTTCATATTTACTTTTTCAGTATAAAACTACAACAAGTACATTTTGCATTTAAAGGAAAACATCCAGCTTCTTTACTTGTTGATTACATTTGATCATACCAACAGCATACATCAGTAATAGTCAACGTATTTCAGAATACCCATTGTTTTCAAAATGTCTGTGTTAAAAATATCTATGATTTATGTTTATCCATCATTCATTTGGATTCATTAAGCAGTGACCCAGTGCAGACAGCAGTTAAATTTAATTGATGTCAGTAATTGATCACTTTACAAGGCAGTGGATAACTTCCTAGTTGATCTCAGTGAACATTCTTTATTTAATATGATTTTACAAACCCCCCAGTGTGAATTCACTCATCAGTTAAATACACATAAGTGAAACATGGCAGCAGAATTGTGGAACCCTGGTGACCACATCCTCATACAATTAAATTTATTATTGTTCTCACTGTCAATCACCCAATGAATAGTTATAACTGGGATTATGTGGCTACTCCATTTGATTCATCTGCTCAGGCAGATCTCTTAAAATACTCAATAGCTCAGCAGGAAAACTAATGCAAACATGAACTTGTGCAGCCACTACAATGATAATTATCCTTATATCAGTGTACTCATTAATCTCTTCTCTGTTAAAGCTGTTTGTTAAGGAGAATCATTCTTGCAAAACGACAAAGTTAGATTTGTAATTCGGCAGTCCTGTTGCAAAATGTAATTTTTGTTTTTACTATAGTCCTGGACTTGTGGCTTGCGGAATGACAGAAAATCCTTGAAGAGCACGTTAACGCAACAAAACAAATTTCCCTCCTTGGCAAAAAGGAACAAAAACTGTAGTTGTAGTGTTGTCTTTGCAGTGTTTCTCAACTATTTTACAGCATCTACATCTAATATCCTAATATCTATTTATTTTATGTGTTTACTATTAGGCAAAAGCACTTGTTTAAGTACAAAGATTAATAAAAACTACCATGACACTTAAGTTGATTCTAACCCAGCAGCAAAACTGGTCTTTCCTATATTAATGCCAGTAAACACATAGGTTATCTCAGAGAAGGCTCGTTTTAGAGCTCCACTGCAATATTCAGCATGTGTATGGGCTTCTACTGATTTTTAAAACCTACAGTTATCCCCATCAATATGTTTTGTGCAGGATGAAAAATTCTGTTGTTTAATGACAATATTAATGTGTGCTATTAAATGCAGCCTGTTCCTGAGAAGTTTGTAGGCTGTGATTGTTGACCATGCTTCTGAAAAGGCTAGCTGCCTGGGTGTCATGTTGATCCAATGACAATGAAAACTGTGGGGTTGATTTACTAACAGCAAACAGGCTGTTTATATTACCAGGTAGTTTACACTTTGCAAGGGAATTTTCCCTTAGCTTAGAAAATGTGTAAAAATTCATTTTGCAAAGAATACCCAATTGCATACAAGGACAATTAAAAAAAAAAAAAAATTTGATGATGGAAGTCAACAGAGCTTTACCTCATTCATTAAACTAAGAGAATAATACCTTGGAAAGAGAACAGCCTATTGGCCTTTAGTAAATCAACTCTTTTGAATCACTTTTGATCAGACATTCAGAGCAGGGAGTTTGTTTTTACTTGCTGGATACTTATTCTGCATCAGTGACTCAGAAAATGTCAAAGCAAGAGACAGGCAGCTAGCATTTTTAGAAAGATCCAAGCAGTGATAGCCTTCATATTTTTGTCCACAGAGGATTCCTCTAATCAAATGGTTCAATGCATGATAGTGTTTGGTACCTATCTGGACCACCCATATGTGTCAGCTTTGGCCATCGCCATGGATGGGCAAATCTACAGATCCATGTACCCATGCATAGGAAAAAAATGGTTGTGAACGCTATGATCTTCCTATATATGTAGGTATGGGCACTATATAAGAAACAAATTTACTTTTTAATAAGACAGTACAAAGTGTAATAATGTGCATTTTGGCCATTCCTCCTGCCTTTACTAAACAAATCTGGTAAAGATGATCTGCGGTTTTGTGACACTACCATAAATATATTTAGGGTTTAGTTTTATAGACCATATTGAAGAAGCCAGCTCCACACATTTTCTGTAAAAATAAAGGGAGAATTTTCTGTACTTAAAAATAAAAGTCCTTTTTTTAAATCAGTATTTCAACTCCCTTTCTTCCCCATTCATTAAATAACATTTAACGATCCTGTGTGCACTGCTCTGCC